GCGACGACGACTACCACCACTACGACGCTGGACATCGTCGCCATTGCCCCTAGCAGCCGCTAACCCCACCTAACATCTGAAGAATTCCCATGGTTTCAGGTCCGGTGCTGGGGCGGCCAGGACGTACCTGGGGCCGCCGAAGCTCAGCAAAAAGCGTACTGGAAGCTTCGTAGTAGCTAGGTCTGGGGTTGTTGCATGGGTCTCGTTCGGGGTTGGAATTAAGGCTTGGTGTTTGGCTTTAGGGTGTAGTTCAGGCACAGGGTTCGGCAGGGCATGATGAGTTCATGACAGGGGTGGTGCAGAATTGAAGCTGTGGAGAGCCAGAACCCCAGCAATTGCCATGATGGGCGGTACAGGCGCAAACAACCGGGCTGGCCTAAGCGGGGAATGGCAAGTCAAAGGCCTCCGACACTGACTCTGAACCATCAGCCCAAGGAGGGTCAAACCGCTTTGATGGAGCTCAGGCTTTGCCCAGAAAGATGCCGAAGGTACCCACGTGACCGAGGCTGAGGAAACTCCCGGGCTGTGGCAGTAAGACTGCCCGTGCTTCCGTGAATGTCGCAAGCTCCTTGCTTGCGGGGCTGTAGGGTTTCGTCTTTGGGGTTTGTGATGCTTTGGGCTTCCATAATCAACATCGCCGGATGTATACAGACACTAAGCTCCGAAAGCCATAGGGACCTTGAAACTGGCAAGCCAGCTGTGCCGGACTCGCATCGATCGTATGAGTCAGCTTGGGAACTCTTACCCTATCATCTGCGGTCTTGCCAAAAGGACGAAACGTGTTCGACTATTGTGCTGTATAGTGCCATGGCGCTTTGCACAGGCACTAGGTCCTTAGGCAGAGTGTATGAGTACGTGCTCCACATCAGTTCATAAACGGTGAGTGTATCACACTGTTCCATGTGTCAAGCTCTGACCATGACAGAACACAGGCCAGCCTGAATAGATAGACGAGATGAGCCAGGTTTCTACTGTCAGCCTCGAGGCCCCGTGTAAAACTCCAAAACCTCTGGAATAAAAGGGTTCGGGCGCCTGCTCAAGTGTAGGGCATCGGAAGTTCGAAGCCGCCCTGCTTGCAAGCAAACTCGCCGCACGTGCCTTGTACAGAGTACAGAGAGTTGCAGCTCGTTGCCGCAATGGCATGTTGAAGCAGAGCGAGGCGCTGTCAAAGTGGACAGAGATGGGAAAAAGGCAAGCTGTCGCAGAAAGGTTCCTCGCGCTAAAACCGGAGCCTGGCCTATAAAGGAGTTGAAGAATCAGCAGGAATTGCCGGCCAGTAACTATCTGTCGCAGGGCTAGGACCCGAATGCCCGGTCAGGGTTGTTCCCAATGAGGTAGTGTTTGCAGTTTCAAGTTGAAGAAGTGGAGGTGCTTAGGCTTGGTGCGTCTCCAGCTCTTCTGCGCGTGTTTTGGTGGGCTCGAATCTCATACAATTTTCCGTTGTTCTTTCTCCTTCTAAACCACAGTGACGATCGCTGTCCTTGCTCTTTTGCTTTTTGCCCTTCTCCGAGGGCCGCTAAGCCGCTTACGCCACAAACAGATAATATGTGTGGGAAAACAACTTCTTGTCCGCGATGACAGTAAGACGAGTTAGGGAACGAGTGTGAGAGTGAGGTTCGATGCTGACAGTAGTTGCTGAGACACTTCAAGACGTCTTGGAAAACTCAGCTTTTCTATCAACGCCTCTTTCATCCCGCAGGGGAGACGTCTCCACAGACAGGCGAGGTCTTGGGCGTCGGAAGTCTCAGCCGTGTTCTTGTAGCATGTTGCTGAAGTCTTGCTGGTATAGTCATATCCGTGTGTTGTGATTGTTGTGCCTCTTGATCCGGCCGGTGCGACCCCTGGACATCCTGTGGTTAGTTTGCGGAAGATCTAGCGGTTCTCCTCTCCAGCCCTCTCTGAACAAGGGGGTCGATGAGAATGACAGACCTCAGATTGGCCCTCCAAGCATGTAGGAGCAGGTTCCAAAAGTGTGTTGCCCCACCTGAGTCAGAAGCCAGATATGCCGACCCGAATCTGAGTCATGAGCTTACTTTGAATCAATTTTGCCATGATGTGTTCCTTATGTTCTGCAATTCCGGATTGTAGCCCCCAATGCGGGAAGTTAGCGGAGATCGACACAGCAACGAGGTTTTGAGCTGCAGAGTCTTAGGTCTAGTTGTTGTTTTAGGTCTTCTCGGAAGCCTCAAACCCTTACCCCCCAAAGCCCTATCCGCTGAAAACTCCACAGTCCCAAACCCCTAAGATGGAAACTTGTTCTCCTAGGCCGATGCCTTCGAAGATAGCTTTCGTCGCACCTTCGAGATGGCCCTGGGTCTCGGCGAAGAAATCGACTTCCAGGGTTCAGATGTTTCTGGCTTCAAAAGGGCTTTAGGGGTTGATATGGGGTTCATGCATATATATATATATATATATATAGAGTGTGTGTGTGTGTGTATATATATATATATTATACATCCACACATCGCGTGCTTTTATTGTTGGTGCTTATTTCGTGTGCATAGTTAGGGTACACACACATTGATTGTTCTATGCATGCAACGTAATTGCAGAATGCATATCTATCTATCTATCTATATATATATATATATAAACATACATACCATGGACCCTCGCCTGCTTGTCGAGTGCGAGTGCCAAAAAACATACATACCATGCATAGTCTTGCATCATGTTCTGGTACATGATCGTGTAACGTGTACGTGTTGCAAGGCATTGTAGTCACTGCTATGATGGTCGGTATCGGAATGTGACACAGTACCGCATGTGAGCATTATCTCAAAGCAGTCTGTGTTTTGTTTTCTTTTGTCGAAGAAGTTACTGTAGCGTGCAAGACATGATAGGAGCTGATAGCACACATACTTAGGTATCGAGTCTGTTTGGTCAAGCTACACGGGCCATTCTGAACATGGAGGCGCCAACTCAAGATCTCTTGCACCACCCTATTGGCAATTCATTGAACATCGGTCCGAGAATTCAACCCTGAGACAGAATAAGCCAGGTGTCAATTTTCGAACAAGACCCCATGAGTCAGCACATCCATGATACTGTGGTGCTCAGAAGTAGTACGTGGTTTGCGTTTGACTATTTGGTGCTGAGCCCTGACTCCAGACCTGCACGATCCCAATTGAAAAGTTTGTGGGGAAGGGTTGAGTAGCGTCATCTGAGGCCGTGGACCACCACGAAGAGCTCTTCAAGCTTCCCGAGGATATGCGCGAGCATGAACCTACTGGGTTGAACGCTTTACAGGGCTTGGGTCTCTATCTAGGGTGGTGAGGACGGGGGGGAGGGGTTCGGCAGTGATCTTGCATCGCGTGCGGCCGAGGTGGTGACAAAGAAGCTTCTTAGGGTTTCATGCGCAGCTCTTGACCCTCTAAGCTGAGCTGTTGAGATGCACTGACATCGGCCGGTGAGCAGCTTAGGATTTTGTGCCAACATCCCACCTCTCTGTCTGGACTCATAATACCTTATATGCACTTGTCTAAGTCTTGCTATCTTGCTCCTGCGCCAGGAGCATGCCGACGTCGAGGCCTCTTGTTGCGATTTCGGCATGGGAGGAATATGCGTCCAAGCCCCAAGACTTCCTTGGCCTGGCACTTTTCTTGCACAGGAAAGAGCAGGTCTGAAAAATCCTACCAGGGTGATGCCACTGCGCATGCATTGCATAACGACATGCAGAGGATTCAACAGACTGGCTCGCCGTTGATTTCGAGTGTTTTGTCAGGCCCGCCGATCCCGGAACCCCTCGAACTCAACTTGGACTAGTCGCTTCAAAGCTCTAGGATCTCCCACGGGCAAGATGTGACAGGCCGTGGCAGCAGAGGACTATCCTCCGCCGCCTGCCTAGCCTGGTACTGCGGCTTCGGAAGCCAGTTGCTTGAAGATATAGTGTAGTTTGTGCAGGGTTGGGGCTTTCCTCCCTGGAAATTGAGTAGGGCCCTGTTTTCAGCTGGTCGTGGTCTTGGTTTATGTACAGAACAGAACGGTTGAACACAAGGCCTTCAAATTCAAACATCGACTGCCGTGCTGCAGGGAGGGTACTTACAATGTCCGCAAGAGGAGGCCGATCATGCATGGATAACAGACCGACCCCCCTCGGCGTGCCCAATCAGACACAGAGACACGCAAAGTGTTGATTGACCCAATCGCTTTTCGGCTCGCTGGCTGGAACAGCTTCCAGAAGGAGGGAAGGGGATAGCTTGCAGCTTGGGATTGTTGAGTTGCTTCGTTGCACATATCTAGCCCGGCACAGCCGCAACAGGCAGCGAGAGCGTAGCTTGTTCACTCTCTGGCCAAGAGTCCATGAAAGGGCCATGGCGATGTCAGCGCAGGCAAAGGCCCCCGATGCAGTCAGTGCCGGAGAGTTGGAGCGCTTCTTCCAGTTCTTGCAATGCCAGCTCCGCATGGAGGCTGACCACTGCATGGGACGAGCACTGGAGCTGCAGGACCAGGCCGGCGTGATGTGGCCCCATTTCGAGGCATGGGCACGGCCAAACCTCGGTAAGAAAGAGAAATGGATGCCCTTTCATACAGTTCTGGGTGCCCATGAACTGTTTATCGTGGAGAACATCCATCACAATCCCGAGCTGCAGTGGGATGAGAAGTGCCGATTCTTGGCTATGTTCGTGTTCAGGGCGCACTGCCGTGGCACGATCTTCCGAGAAGCCCAGCTACCACATATGCGCCGGAACGAATTCTGGAAAGACCCTCAGTCCTACTTCCAGCAAAGTGGCAAGATTACTCGTAGCATGCTCTCCTACCGTAAGAAGACTGGGCAGCCTTTACAGACTTCCGCCTTCCTCGCCATTCCGGAACGTCTCTGCCAGGACGATGATGAGAACCTGGCCCAGAATGTGGCCCAGAGGACACGAACTTTGCTGGAGGTCGCAGAACAGCTGTGGCCCATCTTGCGAGACCATAGTCTCTCAAGCCTCGAGAAGTTTGAGCAGATTTCGCGAGCGATCTAAGCTGGATATCGCTTAGGCGAAACTTGGGCAAAGATGCTCATGGTAAGCATCGATATTGCATACCCCAAGGAGCAGTTGCTGGCAAATAACTGTGATGTCGGAGTGGGAGCACTGAAGGCACTCCAACGACTCTTCAACGGCAACTGCCCACTGGACCTGCGCTGCGCGCTCCGAAGAGCCACGCGCGCAGCCAACGAGTCGCAAGGGCGAGCAGCCCGAGACTTTTGGAGACTGCTGAGCCAGGCCGAGTTTGTTAGAGACGTTTTATGAAATTCGAACTTCTGGAACAGAGTTCTTCTACGTTCTTCTTATCATACTGCGCGAACACATTTCCTAGCGAACCGGAATTTAACTTCAAACGATCCGCAGGTGGAAGCGATGGCGAAGAAACACTTCGCAAAGCTGCCGCTTGTGCTCTTGCAGGTGTCCTCCCAGATCAATCAACTCAGTGTGGTCACAATGCAAGTGCAGCTTTGTGAATGGCGGCAGTTTATGGACCACCTCGCGAAGACGGGCGCCGCTGTGCTCAGCAACGGCTTGATGGCTCCTGAGGACCAAGATCATGAGGAGGAGGGACCAGCTCCTGGATCTGCACAGAAGTACCGCCGTGTCATGGGCAAGCGTCAACAAACAACCGTCCCCCAAACGGACGCTAGGATTATCCGGGTTCGCAGCACTGGCCAGCGCAGCAAAAGTCCGCGTCGCATGTCTTTGAGCGATTCAGAGGACGACAGGCCACTTCTGGCTTTGGGGGAGGCATCCAGGATAGCCGCTAAGGCGAAGCAGGAAACTCCGCTACCAGCACTTGGGATATCCGAAGCTGCGTATATCCAACAGGAGCGTGCATCGCTGCGGAAAGAGACACTCAGAAAAGATCAGGCAGTGAAGCTGCTTCAGAAAGCCCAAAAAGAGGTGGACGCCGCAAATGCGGTGCACCAGCTCTTGATGGTGCAGGTCAGGGAAGCAATGTGTCGAAGGAGCGCTTTCCAGGAGGCTTTGAACAAGGCAGAGCTGGAAGTGACGGAACACTGCGAGCTTATTCAACAGTCGCAGTGGGATCTCGACTGCTCGAGGGAGACCCTCACACAGCTGGGAGACAACTATGCATCGACTGACGTGCAGGGCCATCTCCTCGACGCAACAAAGGCGTGTGCGGACATGCCAGCCTTGGCAGAACGTCTCTCAGTGGCTTCATCTGCACGGCAGGCCAGAATGGAGGATTTGTTCACTGCAGTGCACGAAGAAATTGAATCTTCGCATGCCACCTTCGAACAGCTTCAAGAAAGACATGTGGAGCTGACGAAGAAAAGTGACATGGCAATGTCAGAGCTGCGCAAAGCAAAGGATGAGGTCAATCAGAAGATGAAGGCCCTCGACGCTGCAAAGCAGACCTGCATTGAGGCAAGACATGTTTTGGTACGACGACGTGTCGAATGCCTGACGATAGAAGCACAAGTCGTTCTCTTGCAGAAGCTGGTCGCAGGGTGAGCCGAGGTGATTGCACGATCGCTTCGTGCCGCAGATTTCACCATCCTGCAGCAATCCGAGCCGACGTGATGCGGAGCCGCACCGTGCAAGAAATGTTGTTTGGGAAGGTTGATATCGGGGAGTTGTGTGGCAAGGCCGTCAGGGGTGTGCTTGTTGAGTTGGTCAGTTCAATCCTGTAGAAGTCATCAGCAGGTTGAGTCTTCACGTGCTTCCGCGGCCCGTCGAGCTTCGCCCAGCATGTCCGAGCTGGGAGACTCAAAAATTCACGAAGCCACGGACAAGAAAATGTAAGCAACAGTGAAGGATATACTGTTCTGCCGGGTGCTATGAGACTGCCGCAACTTCAGGAATGCCGACGAAGTGCCGGTCTCGGCTTTCTGGGCTTCAGGGTTGCCGCGTTTCCCTGATTCGGCTAGCAGCTCAGGTTTCAGGTGTGTGTTTGGGTTAAACAGCATGAGTCACGCTCCCCGTTCCGTGTAGGCAGAATTGGCAGGGAAGCCGAAAGCAACATGGAGTTCTCTATACAATGTGCACGTCTACGTGCACAACAAGTTAAAATCTACCTTTTATGACATTCCAAAGCGTCTGAACCGTGGGACTTCGGATATTCCGGGATTGTCAGCGAACGCATCCTTTGAGTCTGATCCGGCAAAGGAGAACCTGTCCCCAGAGTTCTGGGTTCCTGCATCATCACGGTCTCGTTGCTGTTGCATCTCAATATGTTTTAATTTTACATACTGCAAAGCATGCGGCAGTGATGCCCTGCCGCCGATCATGCACTATGTTGGTCTGCCTGAGATTGCATTCCTTATGATGCTGCACTGGCTATCCCCAGACGAACATGCTTGAATGGGCTCATGCTTGCAGAGTGGTGGATCCAGCCCACCTCCTACCACATTCGACAAACCTTCGCGCGGGGTTCTGGAAGAGATCTCCACGCGAATGACAAGCCGTCTTCACAGCATGTCAGGCACGGTCAAGAACTCTGCCATCCGAACACACTTCTCTCTTAACTCCGAAAGCCTGCAACAGCCACATGTCAGGTAGTTGACCTGAAGAACCTCCCTTCCAATGCCAAGGACTCGGTTTTGTCAGTACAAGTTCAGGGAGGTGCTCAGAAAACCTCGACCCCGCAAATCCCGCTGCTTTCAGGATTGGATCCGCTTCCTTGTGTTCCTTGGGGGCTTGGGTCGGGAGGCGAAGGTACATCCTTGAAGCCCCAAGTCGCACCAGCGGAACGGCAGTTCATGCTCCGATCAGGACCGAGAGGCAAGGACCGAAATCACGCTCCTTTGCGATTACATTCGAGCCTTTTTTGGAACAAGATGGAGCCATAACACATACTGTAGATCGCTATCTGCAGACATGCCAACGCCCCTTTGACACTTATGGCGGGGTGCAGGATATTGTGGCCCTGCGGTGGCATCAGACTCGTGCCGGATTTTTAGCCGGAAGCCCCGACCAGGGCAGTCAATGATGGAAGAAGACAGGTAGAGTTCATCTGTTTTCGATGGGTTGATAGGATTTAATTAGGACTTCAGGGATGTAGAGGGTTGATTCAAGGGGCTGATCCCGCAGGGTGGCACGAACACCCACTTTCAGAGTCTCCTTACAGCTACTGCATGGCTTAGAACTCACCTTAATGGTAGGCGCAGGTGTTGGAGGTTCGGATTCTTGGTGGCATGTTGCCTGGTGATGCTGCACCACGCAAGTCCCCCACGGCCACCCGAAGATTGAAGCTCCAAACACAACCACAAAGCCTCTAAGCACTGAGTTGTGCAACTAATGAAACCATCTCAGAAATAGCTTTTGTGTTGATGTCGTGTCTCTCTTTGTCTCTGCCTCTCCCTCTCTCCAGTGCATGAACCCGAGGCCCGAAGGCTGGAGCTTCAGCAGTTCCCAGAGTTCTCCTTGGATGCGTTACACCTTCCGTTGTGAGCGCAGTCAGGATTTCCTGCGTTCACAAGCCTGCACAACCCTTGTTGAACCGGAAATAACTGCAATAAACCCCCGCTTCGTTGCTTAAGGGCCATTGTTTGACAAAGTCGCACTCACGAAGCTTTCCGAAAACGATCTAGCCCTGTTCCAGCCACTGTCACAGTGTAACTTCAACTCCTGCACTCCCAAACCACATCATTCCCAGGCTGAAATTCCGAACCCTGAGCCCTTCCTTCATAGGCAAAAGGTCTGCGTCGATACCCTAAACCCTATAAACCCTAAATCCTAAACCCTACCTCGCCTAGGCAAGTCCGAGAGTGAGTGCTGAAACCCTAAAGCCGAAAAACCATCTTATAAACCCCATAAACCCTAAACACCCCATAAACCCCATAAGCCCTATATAAACCCCATAAAGCTTATAAGCCCCATAAGCCCTGTAAACCACATAAACCCTATACAAACCCCGTGAACCCAAGCAAAAACCCTATAGAAGCCTTATAAACCCTAATAAACCCGAAAAGGTCTGCATCGATGCCCCAAACCCTAGAAGCCCTATAAACCCTATAGAACCCCCCCCTAGAAACCCTCTATAACCCTATAAAAGCCCCCCAAAAACCCTACAAACCCCACAAAGGTCTGCATCGATGCGGCCAAGTTTGCGGCTCACGTCGCCGCCAAAGCCTCGCGAAAAGCCTCGGCCTCGAGAGCCGGGATCCCTGGTCTTTTACAGGGGTTTATGGAGGGCTTTTTGGTTTGTTTTATGTGGGGCTTTTAGGCTTTATGTAGGGTTTATATAGAGGGCTTTTTTTGGTTTTGTTTATGTGGGAAATTTTAGGTTTTATGTAGGGTTTATATATAGGGCGTTTTTTTATAGGGTTTATGGAGGGTTTATTTGGGGCTGATGCAGGGCTTTTAGGCTTTATTTAGGGTTTGTTGAAGGTTTTTAGGGTTTAGGGCAAGGGTTTAGGGGGTTTGGGGGCAGCTTCAGCTCTTCATGTAGGGCCTTGGGCTCTGGATGGTTTAGGAATGCTGAAAATGTAAACTTATAGGGTTTCTACATTTTTACAGGATTGACTGGGTTTTGGCCTTGGCTCAAGCACTAAACCTGAAACCGGATCGTGGGCTTCCGCGATTTAAAAGTGCGAAGACTTGACACGCAGCTCTAAGCAATCACATCGCGACAAGACATCGGATCGGAAGGAATCCTTCACAGCGTCATATAGAACCACGGAAGTGCAAACCGTACTTAGACTTGGAGCTGGTGGTCTCTCAAAAGCCAAGGGACTGTTTAGCAACTTTCAAAGCTGGGCAAGAGTCTTGCAAGTGCTCGGCTGCGTTCTACTTCCAGATACTTGCATTGTTGCCCATGCTTTCTCCCGGCTTCAAAAGCTTGAGTATAATGTCTTTCTTGCGAAGAAGGGGAGAAAGACAGCAACCCGACTCCCCAGGTCTCTAGAGTGACCCTACGCAGTTTTTGGGTCGAAGCGGTGTTGGTCTTGATATGTTCGCGACGGAGGGGACGGAGGGGCTTTGGACGAGACTGAGACTGAGAGTTTACACTTCGAACCTGCGTGGACGGAGCTGACTTCGGTTTGGATCCTCCGGGCCGAGTTCGATCCATTTAGGGTTTAGGGTTTAGGGTTTAGGGTTTAGATTCGATTTTCCAGCTGCGGGCTGGCACTTGACAAGATAGGGGCACAGGTAGCGGCTGCACCTCATGTTGCATATGGAGCTTTGTGTGGAACACGCGTGCATGTATAGGTACGTGATTGTACGTGCCCATGCACACATAGATTTGTTTTGCATTCACAATTCGTTCGTCTTTGCGTTCACTACTGTCGTGTGATGTAGTGCAATTTAGAGCAAGGCAATGCAATATCACGTAATTTGGTGTAGTGCAATGGCATGCAACGTAATGTAATGTAGTTTGCCTGTCTCAAATTTGGCATGGTTTCCAGTTTGATAGCGACGAAGTACGTGGTGTGAAAGCCGCTCATCGGGGAGTGTGGTTGCTTGCGGAGTTGGCAAAGCAATTACGGCCCAGACCTGATGGCAAAGCTACTCGATCTGGGGGTTTCGGAAAATAGGGGACCCTAATATAGTACCCAAATAATAGGATCCTTATTATAAGGATCCCAAAATAAGGTACCCCCAAATTTCGGAAGCTCCCATCTGTTTCTGTGTGCTCAGAACACCCTCGAGACACCGGAGCTCAGACAGCTTTTCGACCAGGCAGCCGCTCGTGTCGTGCAGGTTGAAGCCTTGCGCTGGTGGTTTTTAGGATTCCAACTTGAAGGTGGATCGGTTGCCTTAAGTGGATTTTCGAGTTTCGATGGTTCGGCCTCCGAAAGACCCCGATGCAAACACACTCGGGCCGCCACACAGGGGTTGCAGGGAGTATGGTTTGTGAGGTCCTTATGTTCATATTTCTCTTCGGGCCCGAAGGTCCAAGCCATAGTTGACTTCGTGCCAAATCGCGGGCAAGTAATGTGTAGACAGTCAGATGCGCGTAGTTGCCGACTACTGCCACTGCCGTTGCTGTTGCAAGTATAGCTCCTCCCACCACTGTTTGTTCTACCACGATTTCGTCGACGACAGCGACTACTCGAGGGCGAGGACAGGGAGGAAGCACGAGGTGCGGGGTGCGTTGTTCGAGGCACGAGGATGAGGACGACGATGCGGAGCAAAAGGAAGAAGAAGGGGATGAGGGGGGAGGAGGACGACGACAACGACAGCAAGAAAGGAGATTTACAGGCAGCCGACGACGAGGACCACGACGATGCCGTCTGCGGCCTGCAACTCCTCCTTATCCTCTTCCCCTCCGAACTACTACAACAACTACAACTACAACTAGAACTACGACTACTACTACTACTTCTACTTCTATTTCTGCTTCTACTAGTACTCCTACTACCACTACTACTACTACTACTACTACTACTACGTCTACTACTACTACGTCTACTACTACTACTACTACTACTACTACTACTACTACTACTACTGCTACTGCCAGTGCTGCTGTTACTACTACTGCTGCTGCTGCTGCTGCTGCTACTACT